TCTTCCACGACTTCCTTTTTCGGAGTCAGGCACAAGAAGGAATGTGAAACAGAATTTGGAAGTTCCCCAGTGAGATAAAAGTGATCAAAGGCCTTTAACATATCTACCTTGATGATATTCCAACCCTTCTTATAGAACTCAAGGCTAAATCCATCCGGACCCGGCGCCTTGTCTCCCTTGCAATCTGAAACGGCCAGCCAAATTTCATCGAGGGTAAAGGGTTTTGACAAGTTATAATTTTCCTCAATACTAATCAGACCCTCCTTATAATTAGTTAGGAAAGGGCCAAACTTGTAGCTCTCTTTGAAGCGACTTTGAAAATGTTGGATGAAAGCATTCTGCAGCTCATCCTTCCCTTGTGTAAAGACACCATTTACCTTAATGCTTCTGATGGAGTTCTTCCTTTTATTGTTCGAGGCAACACGGTGAAAATAACCCGAGTTTTTATCTCCAACAGACAGCCATAACTCTTTGGATTTTTTGCGCCAAGATGTTTCTTCCATGATCAACAGCTTCTCGAGTTCACACTTCACCAAAGCCCTCTCTATACATGTAATTAATACAATTATCTTATTGTCAATAGAAGTATTCACGTAACAATATATATATATATATGGAAACGACTCGTATGCGTCAGACACATACTATGTGACAGGATTCTCTACCGTAGATCTAATCTAACGGTCATTATAAATTATATTAAAATTAGTAATAATAATTACTACTTGCACCCCTTAAATAATTATATGTGCTATGTAGCCCCCCAATAATAATTTGCGTTTTATTTTCTCACATGATACCTATTCGTTTTTGTGAGAACTCAGATGATACCTTATTTCTTCTAGATCTTTTAATGAACACCCAAAAATTATACAATTGATAAAATAAAGTTCCATTAAAAGGTTGCCCCAATTCGACAATCCTAAACCACCATCATCGTCATTACGATTTTTCTAGATACCCCAATTGCAAACCCCTAATTTTACCATCATCATCATCGTCCCTGCTTCTGACCTACATCGACTTTGGCTCATCATCTGTTTTTAAGGTCGCAGATGACAGCTACCCTTTCGCGACGAATCCGAATAAATTGACGGTGAAAGACTATGACCTTTACGTCCTATAAACAATGACTAAGGCTGAAATGGAGAGAGGGGATTGGGTCTCGTCAAGGGAATTCTCTTGGTCGGAGTCCAGAATCGTAACGGAGTGAGAAAGTTTGGACGATGAAGAGAGACGGTCGTCGGATTACGGTGGCGACGGCGGCAACGGGATAATTGGGAATTTGGGGGCGAGGGAAGATGACGATACATGAAAAAACGGCATCGTTTTGTGCTCGTCTCTTAATCGAAAGTGGGCTGGAGAACGGCGTCGTTCTATAGGTGTAGCTGAAAACAAAAAATACTTGTAATGGTATGAGGGTTGAACCAGCGTCCAGGTCATCACCATGGGCATTCTTCACCATTCATGCTGAACAAGGATTTTGATTCAATATACTTCCACTGTTATATTTATCACTTGTTCAGCATGAATGGTGAAGAATGCCCATGGTAATGACCAGGACGCTGGTTCGACCCTCATACCATTACAAATTCTTTTTTGTTTTCAGCTACACCTATAGAATGACGCCGTTCTCCAGGCCACTTTCGATTCAGAGACGAGCACAAAACGATACCGTTTTTTCATGTATCATCGTCTTCCCTAGCCCCCCAAATTCCCAATTATCCAGTTGCCACCGTCACCACCGTAATCCGACGGTCGTCTCTCTTCATCGTCCAAACTTTCTCACTCCGTTACGATTCTGGACTCCGACCAAGAGAATTCCCTTGACGAGACCCAATCCCCTCTCTCCATTTCAGCCTTAGTGATTGTTTACAGGACGTAAAGGTCATAGTCGTTCACCGTCAATTGACGGCAGCGTACCTACCCACCGCTATTGGCGATCCTCACTTCGGCCCACCTCTTGAGTCTGCACTCTTCACTTCTCCGATCCTTCCTCGTCCGCCTCTCGAGCACAAGATTCAATCCATCATGCCTCGAACAGATCACTCTCTTAATCCATAGAGGGATTAAACATCGATGGGAAGCGCAAAATCCAATTGCTTCAATCGGCCAGGATGAGAGGAGAGGGTTCGTCAGCCACTACAGACATCAATTGGAAAGGGGGTTTGAGCGTTGACATGAGTGGGAAAAGGAATAAATCACCAAACTAAAATTGTAAGTAAATATAACTTAATGGATTGGAGACATGATTAGAATAAAATTTGGTACTATAATTCGAAAATATGTTGAAAAGTTTGTTTAGGGGTTAAAGGGTACGCATAAAAAAGTAATAGGACCAACTAATCATTTAAAAATTATAAATATTAAATAATTTAATTCCAATTAATAAACACCGTTAGATTAAATCTACGGTGTAGAAATCCTGTCGCATAGTATGTGTCTGACGCATACGAGTGTGACCCATATATATATATATATATATATATATATATATATATATATATATATATATATATATATATATATATATATATATATGGGGAGTTCTACGGTACCCAGGGTGAAATCCGGGGTATCGCATCCTTGAGTAAGAAAACGCTATCCAGAACTTGAATTGACTGATCTTTCGAACATGAAACTATACTCTAACCCTTAAAGATCAAAATCTAGGTCTTAATTCTCTAAATCTTATATTCCAAGATCAATTTAATTAGAAACAATAATCGACGGTTATGATTCGTCCAAATATAGGCAAAAAAATTAATGCACCATCTTAGGGTTTATAGTTTATGATTTATATAATTAGCACCTAGGGTTCACTCAATAAGGGTTAGGGTATAGTATCATGCCCAAAAATCCTGCTAATTCGAGGTCTAGATAGCGTTTTCATACTCAAGGTATGCGGTACCCCGGATTTCACCATGGGTACCGTAGAAGGCACCATATATATATATATATATATATATATATATATATATATATATATATATATGGGGAGTTCTACGGTACCCAGGATAAAATCCGGGGTACCGCATACCTTGAGTAAGAAAACGCTATCCAGAACTTGAATTGACTGATCTTTTGGACATGATACTATACTCTAACCCTTAAAGATCAAAATCTATGTCTTGATTCTCTAAATCTTATACCCCAAGATCAATGTAATTAGAAACAATAATCGACGGTTATGATTCGTCCAAATATAGGCAAAAAATCAATGCACCATCTTAGGGTTTATAATTTATTATTTAGATAATTAGGACCTAGGGTTCACTCATTAAGGGTTAGGGTATAGTATCATGCCCAAAAATCCTGCTAATTCGAGGTCTAGATAGCGTTTTCATACTCAAGGTATGTGGTACCCCGGATTTCACCCGGGTATATATATATATATATATATATATATATATATATATATATATATATATATATATATATATATATATATATATATATATATATATATATATATATGTCAATGGTATGAGGTTAATGAATTGTTGTGTTTTGTAAATTGACGTATTCTCTTAGCAATTGCCATTGGCTGAAATAGACATTTCTTTCAAGTTTTCATCCAACTTATTGTATGAGTTTTATCTAAAATAAGAGTTCATATGTTATAAATACAAATATACAATATAGGAACAATGTTGAATTTACTTTTTATGAGCTTAAGAGGGAGGAGTGTTTGGCACTTGAGTGATTATGCAAAGTATTAATACTTGTATATAATATTTATAAGATATATGACTAATTACTTAACTGGTTAATTTGGTTTGATTGGTTATGAGTGTTTGAAACCAAACCAAACCACCTACACCAGACAAGCTAAAACAATTAACCAAACCAAACCGTTATCCAAATTAACCAAACCAAATTATCCAAATACTACTGGTTATAATGATTATCACGATAACCACACCGTTTGAACACCCCTACTTCTAACAGTCATAAAAGAGGAAGCTCGTCGGAATTCATCATTTGGATGTTAAAAGGACTTAAATTTGTTGTTTATTAAGCTCATCAAATTCATCATTAAACACGGGAGTTGAGTTTAACAAGTCACTGAGTCAAGTTTTACATGTCAACAAGACTTAATTCAAATTTACCTCATTAGTAAACAAGCTGAATGTTAAACTTTTTTTTCCGAAAATCGAACATCAAGTCGCTCATCACAGCTTGGCTCATCAGGCATCACATAGTATAGTTGCGGGTTAATTCACCGGCTGTCACTTAAGTCTACTGTTTGTCGCACGATGACCACCTAAGTGCATTTTGTTGCAAGTTAACCACTTTCGTCGAATAAATGTAGTAGCGTCACCATTTCCGTCACTTTAGCTAACAACAGGTACCGAAACCTAATTTTCCATGCCATGTCAACTTCCCACGACAGCTACAAACGCCGAGTCAGACCTGACCCACTAAATAGAATGGGCCTCTTACTTGCAAGGCAATTTACGAGCAGAAAACCAGCTCTTCCCAACAACGGTTCAGTTTTCCCACTTCTCTGAATCGCAAGTAGTAGCGGCCTTTCTTTCTCCAAAGAATCGCAATCAACCAACAACAGTGGTGTAAACCTTTATTTATTTCTCTTGTGGTAAGCTAATCCGTGCACCTGCAATTGTTAAGTTATTCATTCTTTCTTTGTTTCCCTGTTCTGATTTTCTATCATTCTTCGTGTTAGGGAAAGGAGAACAAGTTGCGGGAAAAGATTATGTGTAGATGGAAGGATTGGAGAGGAGAACGATTTTCGCTGCGGGAAGAGGAAAGGGTTGGAGATGAGATATTGTCGAGCGGATTTTTTTTGTTTTTTGTTTAAAGGTATGCAAATTTTAGTCCGTTGGGGAGAGGAGGGCCATATATTAATATTGAAATTGTAGATTTAGTGGGCCAGGTCTGACTCGGCGTTTGTAACCGGCGGCGGCGTGGAAAGTTGACATGACATGGAAAATTATGTTTCGATACTTGCTATTAGCTAAAGTGACGAAAATGGTGATGCTTCTACATTTATTCGACGTAAGTGGTTAGCTACAACAAAACACACTTAAATGGTTACCGTGCAAGAAATAGTGGATTTAGGTGACATCCAGTGCAATTAACCAGTATAGTTGCCCACATCCCAAGCACTAAGCAGTTGAACCTTTCTTTGCATAAAAAGGGAATGGACTGGACTGCAAGGGGAAGGAAAGGGAGAAATGAGCTTCGACATGGAAGGCCCAAACATAGAGCCCATAGCCCAAATTCTGCTCTTGGTGAGAGACTTCACACTCACTTGGATGATGGGACCAGAGCATGCAAACGCCCAAAACCACCTACGACTACGACTACCAAAGATTGAAACATATACATGGTGGTGGAAGGTAAAATCTACTACTACTAAGATTATTAGCCAGAAAACATGCATATCCAAACAGCAAAGAGAACTGCTACTCGAACTTTACAGTCTTCCTCACTAGACCAAACCCTACTGACGATGTGGACGCGCGTCAACAAAGCACCAAAGCAAACTAACCAAACCCGCCATGGAAACAGCTCTTAGAGAAAGCCAAATCAAGCAGCTACCCATCACACCCCCTACGCAAACTGACGATGCTCGTAAAAGGATGCCCTCTTACACCACTCCTGACGGGAGACGGAGAACTAGTTGCCCTCCCACCAGACTGCAAAGCAAAGACGAGAACATGACTTAGAAAGGGGAAATCACAACACGAAAAAGAAGTGTAAACGTTTAGGAAATTATTCATATTGATGATCGTACCTCTTGACGTAGTAGTAGCAGAAATCTGCTAGGATGAAGGTTTGCACTATCTCGGAAAGTAGGACCATAGAAGGCCACAACCCATAGCCCAGTGCTGTCAGTAGACGGCCTCGAGTATCCAGTACCTTTTTTTGTGATGAAGCAGAACATGGATTAGTTAATTGAATCAATGGTTCAACATGTGCAATGGTTTAAGATCCAGCAAGGATTTGTGCAGTGAGATTCCACATCATGTCCACACAAAATTGGAGAACAAGTTGTTATAGATAGTGTGTCATAAACCTGGAGGACCCAGTGTGCACAGCTCAGAAAACGTGCAACTCCAAGTGCGAATACATAATGTGCTGTGAATGGCTCGACAATCTGATTATCAGAAATGAAGAAGAGTCAGAATCATAACGTCATAGGCAATGATCAACCCAAAAACATGTCGACACTGTTTTTCTATGGCCATGCATTCTTAGTTATCAATTACTGCAAGGTACAACTTCAATCCAATACCTTGGTGTTCTGCATCACCCTGAGTTGAGGCAATACAGAAACAGCTTCAAGGTAGACACAGAAAGCCCAACAAATCCTGTTGAAGAAAAGGTGTTGAGTGGTCGGATGAATGACCAAAGACAGCACAGCGCATGGAATCACCTGCATTGCCACGGAAATTAAAGAGAACGTCATTGATGAAATAAACACGAGTAACGTATAAGGAGGAAGCACACGAGTTCTCCACTACTCTACTATTGCTGAGCACTTTGCTTTTGGTTCATCTAGCATTTAGGACCCTACCTTTTGACTGAAGACCATAAAGGAAATTGCACATAAATGAACTCTTCATGAAGAGAATCCAAAACCAGAACCCTGGAAGTTACAACAACAACGAAAGCTAAAGACTCACCACAAAGTATATAGTGAAGTTGTCCTTTTCCTCCATGTAACTGGACTTCAAGTTGAAGCGAATCATGTAAATTACCCACAAAGTAGTCAACAGTGTAGCTGAATCAAGTAACGTGTGTATATCATACTCCATAACAAAGCTGCAGTAGAGTCTAACAGCTAAAAACAGAGCCGTCAACTCCTGAGACTTCAATGATAGCCCTGCACATTGCAAAACAAACTCAAAAACACTTCAACAAAGATGGAAACCACCAACTCATGAAACCACAATGTCCATTCAGAGCATTTCTTCATTCAAATTCCTATTAAAACAAGCACCCATCAATTAAAACACTTCCAAATAGCTCATCGTCCAAATGAAGTGAACAGAACCCAATAAGGCAACAATCCATTTTCAATCTTCTACCAATGTCCAATGTTGGAAAACCTCAAAACCCCACAGCAAGAACAGCAAAATCAATCACATTAAAAGAACCCAATGATCAGAATCTGCGACAAAATCCACAGATGAAAATTAAAGGGCAGGCATTCTTAGTTACCAGCACAAGTCTTCTCTTTGGTGAGTTTATAGATAAGGACGGAGATCCCAATGGCGTGAACAGCCTCGGAGGCAACGAAGAGATTGTCGTGATCGTTAACGATCATCCGGAGGAACACGAGCGCGGTCATGGCGGAGATTACAGCCAGGAAAGCCTTGATCTTTGGCGGTTGCCTCCGCACCCATGTCGACACGGCGTGGATCGGCCGCTTCGTCGCCTTCATCTCTCTTTCAAACAAGCTGTAATTAACTTTCACAACCCTCTCTTTCTCTCAATTGCAATTACAGAGCCCTAGGGGCGAAGCGGACGAGGGAAGTAGATAGATAACAGAACAGAGCAAAGAAGGAAACAACCAAACAAACAATTCGACTGACTGACTGACAGCGTTGTTGATGAATTGCCGTGGAGATCAGGGTAGATGGAAATGGAGAAATGTGGCGTGTGAGATGGGGCGGAGGGGATCCGGCCCGGATTGGATTTGGATTTGAGTCCGACTGCGGAATGAAGGAAAAGCAATGGAGGCGTGAATGGGTTTTAGGGGAGGGCAGTGGAGTGGATGGACGAACACGTGTAGACGAGAAGTGAGTTTGGTGGGTGGTAGGAAGAAGATAGATAACGAATGGGCCGGTCACTAAGATTTGTTCATCTACCTTTCGATTTCAGATTTCCCATTTGTTCCATTGTTTGTTTGTTTGTTCCATCTATCTAATCTCACCAGTCACCGCACCCAAAGGCCAAAGCCCAACACTTTGGGTTGGTCATCATTGTTTTGTCCTCTGTTTCCATGTCCTGAACAAGTTTATTCAACGATGGTAATTTAAAGGGCTAATACCACTACAACACCCGAACTATCCGAAAAATGCCACTTGTGTTTTATTGTTTCCAATATTCCATTCATGTCCTGAACTATGGTACTTTGTGTCATTTGTATCCTGTCAATTTCGTTGACCGTTAAAGATAACGGTTGATCAAACGGTGGTCAACGCAAAGTTGACTTTTGTTGATGTGGCAAAAAATGTGGCTGCCACATAGATGCCACGTCACTGATCTCATATTTTTTTTAATTCAAATTAAAAAGATTGAGTTAAAATTAAAAAAAACTGTAATTTCAATTATATTATTAAGCCAAAATTTTAAAACAAAATAATTAAAAATTCCATTCTTCTTCTTCCCTAAAAATTTGTGTGAAGTCGAAGACGAATCTGATTTCCAGGCAATGAAGTCGCCGCATCATCTCCTTCTTCCCCCAATCCGACCCGGCAATGAAGACGATTCCAATTTCCATTTTCCAAGCAATGAAGCCGCCACATCATCTCCTTCTTCCCCCAATCCGACCCGGCAATGAAGCAAATTTGAAGTTGATTTGCTTCCCATCATTCTCAGCAGATCGCCTACAAGGCCACCGTCGAGACCGAAGATTGATAATGAAAACAATCAAGAGGAATCCCCTCGAATTTCTGGGGCACATAGAGGAAAAGAGAAATAGATCGATTGATGCATAGATGACAGGAGGAATCAGAGGGGCATAATCATCAAGATTCAACAGTGGTCAATCCGACGGATCTGGGTGTTGCGCTCTGCGGCGGAGGAAGAATGACGGTGTAGAGAGCCCCTCTGTTCGCCGACATTCTCCTCTCCTGCGGCGGTGTAGAGAGCCCGTATGTTCGCCAATCCGACGGATCTGGGTGCTGCACTTTGCGGCGGAGGAAGAACGACGTCAAGCTTGCAGGTTCTGTTTCCGCAACCGTGGCGCCGGTGGATCATTGTGAATGGTGGTGAACGGATTTTAGACAAGAAAATCCTCCATGGTGGGCACTGGCTCCGGATTTTGACGTATGGAGTTGGGACTCTAGAGCGGAGGCGGTGTTGGGCGATAGATCTGTGTGTGTATTGGAGAATCCGGGGAAGAGGCTCTACAAACCCTACTGTGACGGCGGTGGCAACAAGGAGGAGAGGAGGTGTATTTTGACCGAAATTCATTTTTGGGGAGGAGGGGATGCAAGTCACGACACGGAGATGGGTGGGTGGGTGTAGGTATTTTCTTTTTATTTTATTTAGTTACCTTTTTTTGAAAAAAAAATTCTTATTAAAAAAAATCCATGTAAGATGCTGACTGGATTTTCCGTTAAATATTAACGGTCAAAATCTATCAATACTAACGGAAAAATAGTTCAGGATACAAATGGAATATTGGAAACAATAGGACACAAGTGGCATTTTTCGAATAATTCGGGTGTTGTAGTGGTATTAGCCCTAATTTAAATCATCAATACTACTGGTCAGGATTTTTTTTCCTTTTTTTTCATATGAGGAGGCTAAAACGCCAAATAAAGAGAAAAACAAGGGAGATCAGCGAGAGATAGTAGTGGGAGGGTTCACAATATTCCTTGGGAGAGTAACACCGTTATAATCATCTTGGAGAAAAGGAAGAAGCTCTGGGGTGGTGATTCTAGTACATACATACCGTAAGGGTAGACGAGACTGTGCTTCGAGAGCCAGTCCGCGACTCTATTCCCTTCTCGATATGTATGGACAAGGCTCACTACCCAATCTTGAGCAATCTTCCTCCTAATCGCCGAAAGGATCGATGCATAAGGGTGAAGAGGGTCCATCCTATTGTTCACGAGCTGAATGGCCACTTGAGAATCCGATTCAATAATGAGTGTCCTGTAGCCAAGGTTCCACCCCAACTTCAGACCATGATAGATAGCCCAAAGATCTGCCAGAGTAGCCGAGCAAGTTCCCAAGCTAGAGACAAAACCTCCAAGCCAAGAGCTGTTGGCGTCCCGAACCGTGCCTCCCGCCCCTGCTGGTCCCTGTCTTCCACTCGCAGCCCCATCAACGTTGATCTTAACCCATCCTGCCGGTGGAGGTTTCCACCCAATCTCCGTCATGGTGCGACTAGGAGCAGTTGTGCCACGTGCCACTAGAGTTGACGGAGCGTTCCAAGCTTGAGCCCAAAGATCAGCCCTGATCAAGATAGACTGCATGAGAGACAGGGCGGACAAGGTCTTGCCCAAGCCATTAAAAGTCCCCTCGTTTCTATTTTTCCATAAGCACCAGAGAGCTATGCTGAACAAAGTATCCCAAGAGAGTCACGAGCTCGTCGTCTCCTTACTCGTGAGGTTTCGTTTCAGCCATTCTTCCCACTCCAAGCTAAAGAACTTTGCTTGGGTTTTGCTGGGGACCGTGCGGTGCCAAAGGAAGGTCGCCGGTGGACAGCTTCTAAAGATATGGTCGAGACTCTCCATCTGATTCTCACATCTATAACAGGCTCCTTCATGAGTCAGTTGACGATGCATTCTGAAGTCATTTGAGCTTATCTTTTCCTGAACCACCAACAAGATGAAACACCACACTCTCTCAAGCACCTGCAGCCGCCACAGGGCCTTCCACAAATGTTGCTGATCGCCCGGACTCTCGAGCCGGAGCAGCTGATAAGCGCTCCGTGTGGAGAACCTTCCATCTGTTGTTGGACTCCAAAACAGCCTGTCGTCTTCCAACGATAAAGGATCCATCGCATGAGCAGTGATTTGCTGTTGTATCTCCTGAGGAAGCAAGTTCTCGAACTTCTCGATGCGCCAGTTTCCCTCCTCATCCACAAAACCAGCCGCGACAGCCATACGACCATCCTCCGGAATCATGCCCGTAGCCAGCTCTTGAAGCGAAACCTACAAAAGCCAAGTGTCCATCCAGAACTTAGTTTGTATGAATATTCCAGGCGCAACCTTTCTTAAGTAAATCGGTTGTCTTAGTAAAACTAGCCCAGGTAAAGGAACTTCCATGAACCGACCTCAGGAGATCAAGATGTTCCCGGTTTCCTCCATACTTCGATCGAGCCATCTGCACCCAAAGGTTGTCCTTCTCCTGTAAGATGCGCCAACCTCCTTTCGCCAGCATAGATAAGTTCACTTCCCTTGTTGACCGGATACCAAGACCACCCTTGTCCTTAGGCTTCAAAAGCTGAGGCCAACCTACCAAGTGCATTTTCTTTTTGGCTTTCGTATCCCCCCAGATGAAGCTTCTGTTGATTCGATCTAAAGACCTGCAAACATTCATAGGGAGCAATTCTGTTTGCATAGGATAAATAGGAATCGAGGCAGAGATAGGCTTCACCATAGTAATTTGAGCTGCTAGTGAGAGGTGTTTTGACTTCCATGGAGCTAGTTTCCTCTGTATTCTTAACATAAGGTCTTGATATCTGGTTTAAGTCACCCGACCGTGAATTGCCATCACTCCAAGATAGCGCCCGAGATCAACCGTGAGGGGGGATCTCTGCTCGATTGGCTAGCCTCCGAGCCCGCCGCCTGTCAATGTTTGCCGAGACAAATAACGCAAACTTGTTGTAGTTGACTTTCTGTCCCGAGCTGTGACAGAACTCATCCAAACACTGTGTGATTACCCGCACTACTGGTCAGGATATGCAATGGATTAGTTCGTACATATCTTGATCAAATTGATGTTTGGATTGAACCATATTTTATGGATCATAAATTTTATAAATACTCAAGAAAAATAAATGAATTAACATTTAGATCGGACCAAATCAGACCAATATGAAACAAATACAGTGGCGGAGGCAGGATTAGAAACTACCCTTGTCCTTTTTTCAGAATATAAATATATAATTAATAAAAATTTAATAATATAATTAAATTAATAATATTCAAATAAATCATTCATCGAGAAAGAAACAATCAACTAATACAATTATATATTGCATAAACAACCACGACGAGTTTTCGAATTCTGAAACAAATGCAAAATATATTCGTTGTGTACACTTTTAAGTAGGTCTCTTTCGGTGTATCTTATTAAACAATCATTAGCAAACTTATCGCCAATCCAACTTTGAAGTTGTTATTAATACAACTGAAGCTAAAAATGATCTTTCTAGGTTCATAAGCAAGTAGGAGCGGGTTGAGCACGTATCGCCGCGGAGCAACAGCCGCTTACGGATATATGACTTATGCACTTTCGTCTCCACCATTACTCGAGACAATTCATAATGTACAAGCTGTTGTTGAATAATAGTGTCATGAATGGAATCAATTGACTAATTTATAGCAATTAATGAAAAAGTAATGAGTTGTGATGTAGTGGCAAAACATCTTTATATTACTTGTAGGTGTAGTTTTTTTTTTTCTCTCCCAAAATTACCCTGTCCCATGACAAGGCCAAAATGACCTAGCTCCACCTATAAACATATATAAATATTGAGATATCCGTCACACCAATTTGACCAAGTTGTCATCCTACTAAATAAGCAATTATGTATCGCCATTATTGTTCCTTTTCTACTCCATATGGTAGGGGTGGGCATTGGGTGGGTCGGGTGGATTTTGACCATAAAATGGACCCACCCGCGCTTAAACGGATTGATCATTTTTAACCCACCACCCACCCACATTTAGTCTCGGGTTGGGTCGGGCGGATGGTGGATGATGCGGGTGGGTTTGTGGGTTCACCCACATCACAATGTATATACTATAAAGGAGTCAACTTGACATGATAATAGGTGAAGAAAATCATCGAGGGAAACAAGAAGTTGAAATAGGGCGAAAAATGTCGAATTAGTTCTTAAATTGGATAGAAATTCTATTATGAAAGAGTTTTCTACAGATTGAGACGATTATTAGGTGCAAGGAACTA